GCTCTCTTGGCTCTGCTTGGACTGGACCATCACCTCAACAGCAGGGTTTGATGATGCATTCATTGAAGTCAGTGGCAAAACTCCCAGCCATATTAGCAGTTCAGAATTAAACTCTTGACACTTGTGAACATCGCAGGTGCACTCACACGTCTGCAGCATTTTGAATGCTTGCCATAACCCACAATTTGTCAAACAGAGGAAACATTCATCAGTTTATGCCAAGACACAATTCTCACGCTGGAAAACCTAAGGAATTAAGAGGGTATGTAGCAGCACCCTTTCTTCTCCACACCCTGAAAACAGCAACTGATAGAATTCACGTACACCAACCTATTTAGGTCCATTCCCTCCTCCTCTGCAGCTGCGTGCATCCCTAAAGGCTGTGCTAATGATCTGGCAGACAGACATGTCCCAAATGACACTGCAGAATGCTTGAAGCTCTGAAAGGAGACACTATCACAGTTTACATTGACTGTGAGGGGGAAAAAAATGCCATCTGATTATTACATAAATTCTAGCTGTAACAGCTTCATGACTAGTTGAAAGGAGGTAACAGGCTCCAAAATGACAGATGGACCCAAGTGGTTGGATACATCAGCTTCTTAACCTAATGCTAAGGAAGATCTTTCTTATTCCAATGTCTTTATCACTTTAACCTATCCCATGCTGGACAGAAAGAATAATTTCTACCCATTGCCAGTAAAACAGACTCAGATTCCTCTACTGTGACTTTTGTATTTTTTCATTTTCTTCTAGGCTACAATGGCATTGGAGAAACAAATTAAAGACAGTAAGCCAACAAAACACACAAAAACAAGCATACAGTAAACACACCCCTAGCGCAATGATGTTAATTCACAAAATATCTGTCTAAACTATAAAACACAACTTGGAGTAGAATGCAATTTGAAAGGCTCAACTGCAGTTCATGTAACCATACACACACCAGCTTTAAACTGCATTCCTGGAGCAAACCGCCTCGGCATCAGGAGCTTCAGGTTGGAGAACATACTCTTACCTGGCACCCTGGGTAAATAAAGCCATTCTGCTACTGTGGACACCAAATTCACCAGCTGAAGTTAATGCTGATAACTCTTAATTGCATCTGTAGATTCCAGTGCTACATCAAGGTTGAATTTGGCACTAGCTGTGGGATTACGTATCAGCAGATCAGTATAAAAATAATTTGTTCTGAGTTCACAGTTTTATGAAATGACAAAACATCAAAATTAGCATTCTGGCTGAAATCCACTGCATTTCCCATCAAGGCTTACACATTTAAGCAACATCTGAACCAACTGTCTATAATTACTCCTGGCAGATACTGGAACACTTAGGCCAGCAGTAGAGGCCATGGCGAAATCAATTTTTAAAGACATGCTGTAAACCACTTCTTTCAAGATGCTCAGCCCAGAGCAAATGTGTCCATAAGCCAAATCCACGGTTTACTATACAGTATTTGTTCACTCTTGCATAGTAAAAGCATGAGAAGAATGACAGCCCTGAGTAATCTGTCATTTTAAAATTAAACATTTATTTGGGCTGCAATTACAAAAACACTAGCCCTGCAGTTGCTGTCACAAGCACTTAAGGGGAAGTGAGGTTTCACATTAGTTTAGGTTAAAAGAAACACAACTTCAGCACCAAAATCAGATATCCAGATAGACCATACATGGGTAACCTGTCTATATCCCCTTCTTTACAGTGAAAGAAGAACCACATCTGTTCATCTGAACCCAGTGAGTCCTCTTCCTTCTCCCTGAATACATAGCTGTGGGGAGTATGTTGGTTGGTTGTTTTTTATCAATGTAAAATCTGCCTTCTTAATGATCCTATCAGTCTCCCAATTGCAAACTCCCACAACGACAAGCCTGAAAGGGTATCAGGCCAACACCTCCCTCTAAGTTCCCTTCAATGACTTTCTCAAAACATCTCAGAAGTCAAGAGCTTGTAAATTTGCTTGCCTCCAACAGCTGAAGGTCACAAATTCTGTTTCATGCTCAGTCTGAGTACTTTCCCTGTCACACATAAAAATACAGAGGGAAACTCAAGGGGCAGCTCAAGACACCAGCCAGAAAGTATGAACAAGAGGCAAGCAACCAGGCAATGCTGACCACAAATTTCCCTTTGAAAATGAAGCTCAGAAAAACATTTCTACCAAGGCTATGCCACTACCCATGATTTTGCACCTTTGATATTCTAGTTGCAGGTACCAGGGAAGACTTTCAATGTGAGTCATTTGAAAAGCCCAAGATACAAAACAGGAACACACAGGAGAGCTACTGTGATCCTCTACTGTAAATCTACGAGTTCTCAGGAAACATAAATCTCCAACAGAATCAAAAGAATGCTTAAAGGAAGAATGGCTTAAGAAAAGAAAGACTTGTGAGGAAGTACAAAAAAGAAAATCAGTAAGAGCCCATATTTAGAAGAGGACAACTTTTTTTTTTTTTTTTTTTTTCAAAAAAAACCCCAACATTTTAAAATGATAATTTAGCTGAGGACTGTTAGAAACACTGGACAGAGTAACAAAAGTGGCTAAGAATTCCCATAAAAACCTATCAGCATAGTACTAGTTTATTTAGTCTCTCCTGACACTATAAATTTCTTTTTGCTTGATCCTTTCAGCTGGGAACAGCTGTCACTACAAGAACCCAATTCCCCCATTTTCCTCTTTCATCCTATCCCATCCCAGTAAAATTTTGTTACCATATACCAGCACATATTCCTGAAGGGGGGAGTTATTATTTAAAGACACTTTACAATTTCAGTATGCTTTTGTACTGTATTTAAGTACATTTAGAAAAAAGTTAATTTCAATAAATTAACGGTCTTCCAGGATGAGGAAATACGCAAGGACAAAAAATAAGACCACCTTCACAGTAATGTGTCTGTTTATTACTTTCTAAGAACCTCAGAGACAAGAGCCCTCTCTTCTCCTTTCCCTAAATCTCTCTCTTAAGTGTCCTCCAGAGAAGAAGCACTGATGCTAAACTTACTAAACTAGCTAACAAGTCCCAGGCACCTCAGTTAGAGAAAAAATCTGCAAAGTCACCAGTTCCTAAGCGGCCCAAAGCACGTCACTAGTGAGGAATACAGCTGGTATGGTGAGCCTAGCACGAGTAAATTCCACCAGGTTACTAGGATGGGCTCTATGCCAGCCCACAAGCCTTATGAGAACTCAGGAACAAGTGCCATGCAAAGGAGATGGTGCTGCGAAGGTGTGAGAAAGCAGAGCTGCAATACAAGGAAAGAGGGAGTGGTAGAAGAGAGCAATGAGAAGACACCAGTGCCAGCAATACCTGTGCTGCCTGGAAACTACCAATTTGAGTAATGGCAAGAGACACATTTAAGGAAATCTCCCAGCGACCTGGAGGATTAAGAAAGTACTTAAGTGATGTACATGTCCCATCTGCCTATGCCAGGTCACCTGAATGCTGCCATTTAAAAAGGCATCTGAGAACCATAGAACGGTTTGGGTTGGAAAGGGCCTTAATATCATTCAGTTCCAACTCCCTGGCACGGGCAGGGACAACAAGGAAAATGGTGACTCCTCTGCCATGGTCCACAGGAGGACGCACTGGGAAGAAGCTATGTGCTTTACCCTTTGTGAAACCTTATGAGCCTCCCGGGGCGCTGCGCTACCTGGAGCCTCTCAGGGCTGTGACAAAGGGCAGACCAGTTCTCATTAAATTTAGGCCTTTTATATAGGCTGCGCTGTGGCGAAACATCAGCAAAAGCGAACTTCAGGAAGCCAGGCGGGGAGAATTGACAATAAATCCTGTAATACCCCACTAGCAACGCAACAACAGGCTCTGAAACTGATTCGGGCCAATTTAATCACGCAGCCAACGCGCGGCCTGCGGGTGCAGCGAGCGGGGCTCCCTGAGGAGAAACCCGGGGGAGCGGGGAGCGCGTTTACTTCAAAACCACCGCAATCGCGACGACGTTTCCCAGCCAGCAGCACCTCACGAACGGGAGCGGCGTTCTCCGAATGCCACCGCCTTCTGCTTTGAGCGTTGAGGGCCGGGCCGGGTGCCGTTAACGGCCGCAACGGCCGGCGGCGGCGCTGAGGGAGCGCGCGCAGCGCTGAGGGGCGGCACCAGGCTTGAAACGGGAAGCGGCGGGGGAGTCTCGGCCGCGTCCTGGCGAGCGGCAGTCACTTACTTGTCCGACCTGAAACACTACAATGGCAGCGCAGGGAGCGGGCTACACAAACCGCGCTTTTCCTGACAGGGCGATTTCCTGACCGCCGGCCGCTGCCGGGAAACCCGCCGCGCTCCCCCCCCCCACGTCCTCCTCCTCCTCCTCCTCCTGGTCGCGCTTGCGCTGCCGTCCCCCCTTGGTGGAGCGGAGAAGGGGAGGCGGGAGCCGGGCCGGGCCTCCCCCGCTCGCCTTTGAAGGCTGCGCCGGCCGGTGCCGGCATCTGGTTTGCATTTGGGGGCCCGCGAGCGGAGCTCGCCCCGAGCGCTGTGGAAGGGCTCTGCTGTGTGTTAGGCGTAACTGTCACGCCGAAGGCTTGCCCTGGAAAGCCGAGCGCGCACTTGTGCCCTGTCAGGAATTCAAGTGATACGAGTGGTTTTGCCTCGGAAAGGGAATCGTATTTCTCCTTTATTTAAAAGCGACTAGAGCAGAACCAAGGGGGTGGACGGGGGGTGGACTCTTTGTTGCTAAATCGTATTTCTCAGCCGAAGGCCTGCTGCCCTTCAGGAGTGCAGAACAGAAATAGTGGGGGGTTGCAAGAAGCCCCCCTGAGAGCCAGGGGAAGAATAAATAGAGGGAAACAAGCAGAAGGGTATGTCTGGAGTGAGGACACCCCCTACCTTGACCCGTAAATATATAATCGCTGTCTACATAAATGACTGCAAGCCATGGGTTGGACATTCTGCTTGGGGTTACGCTGCTTGAGAGGTTTACCTGTAAAGCTGGAGTATTCCTGATGTGAGGAATGAAGAGATTTGCTTAACATGAAGGGAGGTTGGGACAGCAGGATGCCCTCCATGCACCCCTTGAACCCACAGGCCAGCAGTGGCAGAGCACTCCTGCAGTGGACAGGATCAGACCCCACCACATCCCTCCATGACCCATTTAGGGAGGAGCACATGGAAACCCTCACATTACCATCATGTCCAAAGCGCTCCTAGGGAGCCAACAGGGATTTTTCCCGTTATCCCCCATATATTCTCCAGCAGGAAATCTTGTAGCAAAATTAAAGCTCCCTTGCAACATTTCCAGAGTTTTCCCACTTGGGCCCAGGCAGAAACAGTGCAGGAACAACCTTGCTCAGGGAAAGATGAGTGTTGTCTCGTGGTTGGAGCACAGGGTTCGTGGTCAGGAGCTGTGGGTTCTCATTCCAGCTTTGCCACTGAATCATTCTGAGAGCTTCGCTGGCCACTTTGTGTTAGAAGCAGTTAGTAATTTTCCGTAGGGATGATTTTCTGATGGAAAACACTTCTACAAAACCAAAATCTGGGTGAAAATCAACTTTCCATTGGGAATACCTTGCATCTAGGCAGGGTGGGAAAGGACATTAGACCCAAACTGAATCATTTGGTGTTTTCTCACATTAATCCGCATGTTTTGCACTGAACAGATAGATCTTCTTAAGAAATACCACCCTCCTGACTGGAATTCCAAGTCAGCTCCATGCACAGTGGGAGTGTGTGCTCTCATGCTCTGCTCTGCTCCCCGGGAGGTCTGCACCTCCTCTTGTGGGATGCCGATTTCTCTCTTGTGAGACGTGCACATCCCAGTCTGAGTCAGACCAGTCCAGGCATGCGGGCACCTGGCCCATGGGAACAAATTGTAGTGTAAGGCTACCACCCTGACCAAGGAAGTACACCACAGAGAGTAAGTATAGAGTTCAGAGACACAAACAAGCTGTTTCACGTTAGCTAGGTGACCCAAAACAAAGTACTGTGCCTGTGGATATACCCAAGTGTTCATTTCAACTGAAAAGCAGTAAACTGAAGCACAGAAAAACGGACCTAGATGTGTTTTTACTACCTCTGACCATCAAATCCTATAAGCCTTTTCATAGAGCTCTGGTTTATAGCTCTTGCTCTTCACCCTCCCAACTACCTCCCTTCTTCGCTGTTTTGTTCCAGGATCCTATTCCTCTGTGCATTAAAAACAAATTACATTATTTCTGTCTTCATTTACTCCTACATTGCTGACACTTTCTTTTCATATAAATGATACTTGTTCTCCTCCCACAGCATACTTGCAGACACATTTAAATCCCTTCTTATCTTTTGTTTTGCCAAGTTAAACATCAACCGTTTACATTTTCTTTCATAACAGCAAGTCTGGGGTTATCTAATAAGCTTTCCCTGCACTTGCTTCAGTCAGAATTCACCCAACACAATGTGTAATGTTCAAAACAATGAGACTTGTACCTCGGCAATAATAATTCTCTGTGCACCCTTTTAGTTACAGGCAGGGATTTTGCCTTTTTTATACCTATATCACATTAGTACCTTGATTTATACAGATATTTTTGCTCCAGTAAATAGAAAAAAATAGTTATCTGTCTGTAAATACAGACAAATGTATTAATTCTTCCTTAAGACATTTTTCCATTTCATTATGCTTCTTTAGCAGTAGATGGTTTCTTTCCAAGAGGGTGATAAATGAAAATATTTTCAAGTACAACTACAAGATCTCCAGTCTCCAAAATCAAAGTCCTGAAAATGCCTTTTTTTATACTGAAGGAACCAAAGTTTAGATTACCACGTATTCCCAAGACCTCGTGAGGCTTAATTCATTACTCCTTTGAAACATTCTGAAAGCTGAGGGTTAAGAGGTGTTATATTAGTGCAGAATAATGATGATTGATTAATTTGTGCTTCATATCAGATGCAGGAAGAGTAGATATGAGTGCAGCGAATCCTCTATAATCTCAAAATCTTTCTATAAACCTGCAAATATCTTGTAGGTGCATGTAGTTAAATGGAACACAGCCACTTTTTTTTCTGCTTAGAGCGGGGGTCTTGTAGTTTTGCTTCAGATGCTACTGCTTCAAATAAACCTGCCTTTTTTTTCCATGATTCTGATGAGATTCACTTCAAATCTACCCTTTTGCCTTTTCATTACAGAGTAACTACTGAAAATTCCATTTTAAATGTGCTGTCTGTGAGACAGGATCGTTCTTTTTTTCATTATGAACAAAAGCCTGTATTTCAAGCTGTAAGGATACAACTCTATGTAGTGTAAATCAGCGTTGCTCTGAGGTGGCCCGCAGTCCTCTCCACCAGCACTGCAGAACAATTTAGTGGTTTTAGATGACAGTTGGCATCTTTGAAATATTCTCTTTTGCAGAACTAGACTAAATGTGACACTTGCTGGAGAAGAAATCTTGCATAAATCTGTCTAAAAAGACTCAATCATATTACTTCACTAGCAGTGGTAACCTTTGGAGGCCAAAGTCCAGACAGGTTGAGAAATGGAACATGAGTACATAAAGGTGACAATTCCATTAACTGCAATCAAAGAGAGAGGTGAATGGTGAGCTAAAGACAAATGACTTCTTCTATAAAGAAAAGAAAATATGTGTGTGAAGGGGAAAGAGGCAGAATGAACATTTTCCAGCCTTGTCAAGGAAATAAAGACCCAGTCCCGCTCCACTGAGATCAACACAAAAACATCTCTCAGCCTCCCTGGCCCAGCGTTCCAGGCTCCTGTTGAACTGTCATTTTAGGAGAGCACAAGTACACAAGTGAGACACCCCAATAGAAAATGTCCTGCTGAATTGCCACCATAACCCTGCTGGAAATGCACATACTGGGCCTAGCTTTGCAGCCAACAGGGCATTCTGCAAAAACAAGTGGGAAAACTGTTGGCATTTCTAAATCCAGTGATTCAGGATTCTCAAATATACCAGAGAAGATGTCACAGTGCAGCGGGATGTACTTCAAACCCAGACAATGAACAGGAATGCCTTTGGGGCATTCTTTTGGGTCCCAAACCAGAAAGTCTGGGTAAGTGTTGATAACTGAAACTACCATCAGAGAGGGAAAATGTGTTCTTATGCAGGTTCAGCACCAAACGTTAGCATAGATAAAAACAGACTGTTGGGCTGTATTCTCAGCCCATACCCTTCAGCGAGGGCAAGAACAGCATAAGCAGCATCACTAAACAACTTCACATTACCTGAGTGTTTTTAGAAGAGGTGGAAGCTTAGACACTAGCCATGCTGGCCACTGAGCTGCTTTGCCACACTGGAAAAAAAAACAGAAAGGGATCTAATCTGTTACCTCTCAAATCTAAATTTAAGATAAAGAGGAAACAAATGAAGTAAAATCTATCTCTATATACACAATCTCCTCTTCTTTTGCAGTTTTTCCACTTACATGTGGCATTTTCAAGAATTTCTATGCAGAAAACTTCATCCAAACCAAATCCATGCACCAAAACAATAGAAGCAGGTAAGAAAATTGGTTTACTTACAGAAGCAGAAATAGATCTTTGAGCACTTCTACTTAGTATTGATTAACATAACAACTGAAGGGAAGAAGAGATTTATAAAGGGTCATATAACACATCCTTGCTTAGGCACCTGAGGGTGGTTTTCACACTCATTTTGAGGCAGCAGTATAACACTGGTATATGAAATAGAAGCTGAGGAATGCCCTGGATGAAACGCTTACCAAATCATTAGACTAGGACTATTTATTCAAACAGAGAAATAGGGAAGTAAACCCCAACTGAATACTATGCAACAAGAAGAAGGGGTTTTTTTGAGTGTACAATAGGAAAAAAAAGGAATTTCCTTTGGGGAACTTTTTCTGGTTTTAAACAGAGATATTAAGCTACTCCTAGATAGTAGAGCAGCCAAAAAAGGAAATCCCTGTTTTACACAGCTCTAAATATAGGTAGAAAACTAATTCAGATTTTATCAATGTGTGACCTGTTTCCTTACGTTTTGGGCAGCTCACCTTTTAACACAGGAGTCAGAAACCGATACAAACAAGCACACAAGATCGCAGGCTCCACCAAAATTCCAGTGTGTTGCCCAGGGCCTGTTCCTGCCCGCCCTCTCGGCTGGATACCAATATTCTTTATTCTCAGGGGAGTCAGCCTTCCAAAAAACCACTTGGCACTTGAGTCAGGGCTGCTTTGTTTTCCTAACGTTCACGGCAGGCAGGATGTTTTCTGACTCTGGTACCCAACAGTGGAGCATTCCAGACAGCACGGGGCTTTTTCTTTCAAAACCACACTGCCAATGCCATAAGAGTAAGTGAATTTCTGTGACACAGTGTGATCCTGGAGGGGGGGGAAATAGAATGACTTTGTTGCCATACAGGGATATGCAAAAGGAAAATGCACCACTCGCCACCTTTACAAACTCCTTCTGTGGTGTGAATGCCGGCTCAAAGTCATGTCTTTATCAGCTGGTTCCCCTTTGGGAAGTCTGCCAGATCTCCACAGAATAGGTTAAGAAGACCCCCCCATCCTCCCCAAGGGCTTGGACAGAAATGAAGCCCACTGCTGCAGAGGTGCAGAGGAAGTGCTCAATGGTCTTTGCATACACTGGTCCTGTACCTGTCCCTGTTGCCCGCATGTGAAAATGTTCTGCTTGCTCCCCAGAACAGATTCTGTCTGTACCCACACAGTGCAGGCACCCCTACAACTTTAGCATATGCCTTTAATCCTAGAAATATGAATTTAGCATTACCATTTCTATTCAAGTAATTCCTGAGATCACTGGTGTTGAGGGCAGCTACGGCTGTGCAGCCTTTGCCTTTGGAACAGAAAATACAGTGGTGAGGACTGTCAGGTTACAGCTCAACAAGAAGACTGGAGGACTTGGACAGAGCCTTGGGTGACCTGGTTTAGTGGGAGGTGTCCCTGCCCATGGCAGGGGAGTTGGAACTGGATGATCTTAAGGTCCTTTCCAACCCTAACCATTCTATGATTCCTCACTGACCAGAAGCAGACATACAGCCCTGCTCTGCCCACCCTCCAAATCCAGAGGCAGCTTAGCCAGAGACATCTTCCACCACAGCTCTATGCCAAAATCCAGAGGTGCAAAATCACCAAATCACAATCTGTTTTGCTGGAAAGGAATTTCACAAGCCAAGCTGTGAAAATCCATGGAGCTCCTGAAATTTCACAATGCCTGACATCCCAGGAAAATAATGAACAGAGGTGAAATATTTTTTGCAACATCCTTTCAAGCCTTTTTCCACGTTGACCAGCTCACGTGAAGTACTTTGTTACAGCGGTAAGACATCACACAGTGATGCCAAAATCTGGTCAGCACATAGAAGGGTTGAAGGAGGCTCAGCCACACTTCAACCAGCACCAGTTGCCGTGCCTGAGACTTGCTACAAAAGGCAGATCATATTTTGCCCTACAAATTCCCAAATGAGTGAACACAGTCCTGGGAGGCACGGTACCATCAGCATCTGTTAACTCATAAAAAATATAATTGCCTGCTCTCCAAGGGTGATTGTTAACTGGAATCTGTACTTCCCAGATTATAAACAACACGCAGCCTTTCTCCTAAACTCATTGCAAAACATACAAATGATGCTCTAAAGCCAGCACTGTAATCCTTTACGATCTGAAATTGAACAGGGACTCATTCAATTACATAAAAAGAAGTTTGTGGGCTGTTCAGCCACCTGCAAATCATACACAAATAAACCAAACAGCACTAAACCAGGAATAAAATCACCATATATGTAGCTAGTTCCTATAGCAGTTACATTTTCATGCTCTGTATACAACCCAAAACAAACTGTCTGCTTAGAATTAAAATACGATACTGTCTCCAAAAGTCTTGCCTCTGGGGAGATAGTTTTCTACCACAGGGCAGATTCAGCCCTGGTGTAGCATTTCTGATTTCCATGGAATTACACCAGTAAAGAATTTGGCCCAACATCTTACCCACACTGATGCAATTCAAATTTTAAGGCACAGTTATGGGGTTTCCTCCTAAGTGAAGCCAAGTTTCTGGAACAAGGGAAGTCTGTAAAAGAAACCGTTGGAGGGATGGTTTAGTCTGGCATTTAGGAATATTCACATAGTAGAACACGTCACGGGATTTAGTTTGTACGTCTTACACGTTAGAATCCCTTACTTTTATATCTTTCCTTACAGATACATTGCCAGTAGGTAGTCACAGCAAAACAGAATAAAACCCCAAGAAATGTAATGAAACAATTATAGACAGCCGTGAGCAGAAAGAGGATCCAGTTAATTCTTCTTCATCTTTGTTATATACATCTATTTCCCAAACTTAATATATTGCCTGAGCTTGTAATATACGATTAACAGAATGTCTGCACCACTCAGGGCTCTGGAGAAAAATGTAAAGTGTTAATTCCCCAACATTTCAGGTAACTTTAAATATTTTGGGCATGACTGTGCTCACACAGTGCTTTGGATTTATGCTTTGCACGACAGATGGAAACGGGAACATGCACACTGATGCTCTCACTGATGTTGAAAACTTCTGACTTCTGTGCAGAATCAGAAACAAAGAGCTATAACACTTCCCTCCTCCTGGAGCTAACCTGGCCTTCCCTAAAATCATACAGCTTTATAGGTCATGGCCCAGAGAACAGGAGTTTCCCCAGCTCTTCCTGCAGTGCTACAAGTACCGGGCACCGTGATGGGGGGCAGGTTGCAGGCAGTGGAAATGTGATGCTGTCAGAGGTCAGAGTGGGAGATTATTCCATTCCCTCTGCAGTTGTTTGAGCTGCCCAAACAGCATGAAGCAGATGCCTTGGTTCTTAAGGCTTCCTGGGAAAATCAACACTGTTTCAAAGCCATATCAGAACCAAAACTATGGAAAAATAAATCAAGCCTGGGTCAAGAGAGATGAAGGATGCAATAGCTTTTGACAGCAGTGAACTGGTAAACGATGGACCCAATGTTGAGCTCTCTGATGAGTCAGAATACTCAGCGCATCTCATCAAAAACTTCTCTACACTATTGACATAATATTGACATTAAGAGGGAACACAGAAAAAGAACACTCAGAGGTACATTTTAGATTACCTATTTGCATTCTTACACTAACCTGACAACCATAAAGCCTTAGGATAAATCAAGTGGAGCAAATATTATCAGTAAGTTAAAACATATCATCTTGAAATATGTGTCCACAAGTTAAGAAAACCTTTTGGCACAGAAGACAGCTGCAGTACAGAGTTTCTTCCTTTGTTAAGCACAAGCAGCAGATTGAAACTGCTTCAAGTATTCTTTAAAATCACATCCTGGTTGCTTATGTCTGATTGTTTCAAAAGTAGGAGGAGTATGAGACTCCGAGTTCCATATGAGTACGCAACTCCACCCTCTGCAAGAATTGCTGGGATTGTTGCTTAGGAGTGTGATCCAAACATGAGACTGTTACCTACACTATGTTGCAATCATGGAAATAGGATGGGATGGGATGTTCTAACTGACGCCTTGTCCTCATCATCGTGACGTACGCTGAAAAGTCGTCATCATGTTGCGAGATGCAGGACTGGAAAGTTAGGATGGCAGATAATTATTCCATGGACTGCAAACATTTCCCTTTATGGAATCCCAGCCATTGAGGGTCAACAGCTAAGAAGCAAGCCCATTTGCACAACTCCACCTGCTAGAGCTATGTGTGGCTGCTGAGAGCCCAGGGACCTCAAATTAAAACTGTGTAAGTGCAAAGGAGGAAGCCTAATGTACAGCAGTTAAAATACATGGAGGCTTTGGGGGTTTTGGTACATCCAACATTTCAGATCACAAAACATTTGCAATTTGGTATTGCAAGCATTTTCCCTTCCCACTGGAACATGAATTTATCATAGAGGAATACATGGCACTTGGATAGTATCACAGGCTGGTCATTTTCTTCCTACATTAACTTCCTCTCAAGCAGAAGGAAATCAGTGTCACCAGTGGTGAGGGTTGTCTTTGTTAGATTGTTATCTTATACCATGTATAAACTGACAGAATATCTCAAGTTGGAAGTGACCCATGAGGACATACTCCTACTAAAGGGAACCAATTCAGAGATTAAGGCTAAAGATCTCAGTGGTATTTTTGGCCTTTAACCCTGGCCTTTTCAAGGTAATCTGTATTTCAGTAGTGGCCCATAATATTATCTGCATTTGTAACCTGTTGCCTTATTTATTCCACAGAACTTTGCACAGAGCCCCCGACCACAGAGGCTTACTGACTGCAGCTCCTACCAGCTCAGCTTTCAGAATCCATCCCAGCCATTTGCAGCTTGTGCAGCATGCAGAAACCCACACTGGTCCTCTGGGTTGAGCAGCAGTGTTCTGATTACCCACTCAATGTCCTTTACATTGGGTAACAGGAAACCAGGGGATGAAACAAGCTATTACTTTCAGTGTCTAAGGTCCTGAATCTGTAAGCTGTAGTTCTAGGGGGGTATCTGCTCTTTGACAACACTTCCTATATTACGTTTCAGCCAGGAAGATGGATGTACCTTAGTTAAAGTGAGTCATTTACTGAACCTAGGCCAAACTTCGAAGCAAATCTGGGCCAGTTGACTGCCTCAGGAGGAAACCTGGGTTTTGCATGAATTAGATGTGAAAATAAGCAGAGCCTGACTGACATCTCTGAATTCCAACTGTAAGGGTAAAACCCAGCAGCCGTGAGCCTCAGGCATGACAAAAATGAGGAGGGGAAAATGAGGCTTCCTGTCTCCCCTCCGAGAGCCAGAGAGACACATGTTACTCAGAACTTAGGGTAAATTGTTAATTATTTATACACTAATTAAGCAATGTTTCTAGAATGTCTTACATATGTAAATTGCTGTAAATACGCTTACATTTTTCCTGCAGTCTCCAATTAAACCAACTTTCATTATAGAGCAAAACAATTCCATACCAACTTGTTACACCAGTTCTTTAGCCAGGCAGCTTTTCAGCTAATGGCCCCAGCTCAGACTGCACGACTGTATTTCTCTGTGGACCTTTCAGTCCTGGTTTGTAGTTGTTTTAATTCCATCACAGATCACATTCTGTTTAATGATAATTTGATTTTGCATTGCAAGACCCAGATGTACATTAGGGGGTCACAACCTTTCCATTTATCTCTTAAAGTAACTATTTTTTCCCCAAGTTCCATCGGGTTAAAACAGTTAGCAATTTTTCTCCTTGAAGTGTCCCTTCAGCTTGGCCAAGATATATAATAGATCAATGTAGCTACAAATGCATTACAACATTAGTCATCAATTAGTTTTAAACCATCGCTGCAATATATCATTGATCTCGCTTGCTGTAGCACTATTGTGAACATTTAATTTTTTAAAGGCATCTTGGTGTTTTAACCTGATGGCTGCAGCCCCCTTTTGTCTCCTGTGCAGACATCTCCTCAAGGAACAATAAAAATTAGATTTGTTTGACCTGCACTCAGGGTTCGTTTCAGCGAGATGGATTTTAATTGCTCTGCCCAGTCTACCAGACAGCTTTTATGTAATATTCCAGACATTTACGCACTGTCTTTTCCCTTGCTGTAAGCAGGTGTGTGTGCCCACAAATGCCTGTAAAGCAGCGCTTACAATTCGCTTCACATCTCCGACAACCCTCTGGGAAATTGCTTACTCTGAGATATCACTGGCATCAAATTAAGGGCTCCCGGCATTGCCACTTCTCTCCTCCTAATACCATTTTCTTTTGTCTTTGAGATTTATCTTTCTGGGTGGCTAATTCCAAAAGGACTTTGCTGAGGACTGTGTTCCTTGTGCTTGGGTTGTCATCACGCAACGCAGATGACTCACCTCTGCATCTCCCAACAGTGAGAACGTGTACGGAGCCTTACCTGTCTCTCCCAAAATCCTCATTGTCCTTCTACCATTTGCAGTACATTTGACTTAGATGAATGGCTCGAAAAGGTTCATGTATAAGACAACTAAGAGAAGCACATCTATGCCACGGTCGTGCAGTATCTTGAAAGATCTCTAACTTCAATTAGCAAGTCACGCGAGCAAGTTATCACAGCATTGACTCAGAGCCTGAAACAAACACTCTGGCTTCTCTGCCAGCTGGGAGTAGAGGCAAAATGAGCTCACGTTTGCCCACGATGAACCTTATTTGCTCCAGCTGCTCCATCAGGCAGAGGAGAACCTCACGCAGAGTTCTCTCCCTGCTGACTCTCCTCTTCCATGGGTGATACAATCTGAAGATGAGGTCCTCTCTTTTTCTTCCCCTTCCTAAAAAGGAAGATTTGGCTGTCCTGTGAGTTACCAAATCAGCACGAAAATATGGGCCTCCTAAGCAGTTATTTGTGCCTACAGCTGGTTCTGGTCTCCTCTCTGTTGGACACACAGATGTACTTAATTCCCATTTGTGCTGGATGCCTATTAAAAGAGTAAATCTGCAAGTGAGGAGGGTCTCCTCTACCATGTCAATGGAAGTGAAATACGTAAATCTCCTGCATGCTGAGGGTGAATGTATGCTTAAAATGCTTGGGAGAACAGCTGTGAAAAAGAATAAGCAGTTTGTGTTCTGCTGCAGTGTCACTGATCCAACATGCTAAGCTGATCCTCATGTATTATATTGTGCTTACTCCACTACACTGCCTGCTGCTTCCATGTGGGGGTGATTCCAAATGCTCAGCTTTTCAGACAGCACAAAGAAAGGGACAAACCTGGCTTCTTCCACCACAGTGTGACCAGCATGGGTCACAGCAGCAAGGGACAACTGGGTTGGAAAGAACAATTCCAGTTAGGAGGCCCCATGCATGGAGGTGGAGATCATGGTGAGCCACAGAGAGCTGTGGAGAGCTGGGGGAACTGCCTGTCTTTCTCAGTCTGGGAAACCATAAGAGGGTTTGGTATAGCTTTTCTTAGTGCTGTTTTTCTCCCCTTTTATCTGGCAGTGGTGAGTCCCAGTCACTCAAGAGACATCCTGGAGTAAGGCTGGGATATGACAAGAGGTGAATCACAAAACATCTAAATAATATTAAGGGTTCTGTTGTGGAAGGAAGTCCCATTTCCTTTCCCTAGAACCAAGCAGAACTGCACCCTTTACCAAAACCCACAGTCCAAAGTGCGAAGTGCAACTGCACAGTCAAGGGCCTTGTCTTCCACCTGCCCTGTGTGAGCCAGCACCTGAGCCCCATGGTAAACTGCATGGAGGGTTTCCCTCTGGTCAAGAGAGGGAAGCAGCAGAATGTTAGATGTTGCTTATGGCATCAGTGGGAGAAATTCAGAAGCTATGCTGAGAGAAGCCTTAGAAGACTTTTACATGATTCAGTAACAGCAGTGACGTCAGGAAAGAGATGGGAGGTCCAATGCACTTTTCATATGAACACATAATTCTTGAATTGGTATTCCGTATATCCATCAATAACACACCCCGATATGTTTCATTTCCCTCACAGAAGCACTGAAAATCAGAACACATTTATTTCGTACCAAACAAAATGAGAACTAAGAGCAGGTTTCAACACTCAAATCCACATTTCTAAACCTCCGTGGACCAGATGCAGCAGAGCTGGAACACTCAACAGCTGTAATGTGCACCGAGGAGTCACATTTGCTCAAGAAAAGTCACATTACTTACATTAATTGGATGCGTCCAGCTCATCCTGAGTCCACTTAAGCCTTGGCAAACCTCTAGCTCCAAGGCATAATGAAAGTATTAATATAGATATTCCTTTATATTATCCCATTTACATAACGACTCCCACCTTTGCAACCCAATAGTTATTCTTTGGAACACAGAGAGCTATTGACTCATATCTGGACTAGGATGCCAAAACCTCCTAAATTTAGAGATGTTTGGAATGAAAGAGTTTGGTTCAGGCCCATCCACAACAGCAAATTAAACACAAGTCATCATCTGCGCGAGCGACATTTTCAGCATGTCCCAGGCCTGGCGGGAGCTGAAATTCCTTCTCCCAGTCAGATTTACAGAATTTGCACATTGAAAAGCACTGAGGTAAACCATGCTCCGAGGGCCAAGTGCATAAATTAGACCTGTCCCCTCCCTTCAGTAAATTACATCCCTACACGCTGTAGGTTGGCTAACTGTGCTTTTGGCAAGTTGGGCGAGCCTGTGTGAGTGCGTGTTAACAGAAGGGGAGTTTGTGTCATACCCATGCATTTACATTCTCTTTTCGAAGGCTCTGGTGCAAGGAATATGTTGTACATCATTTTTTCCCTCCATTCACATCAGATACTAGATTAAACAGAAAAAAAAAAGTGTAATATTAAAAGTGTTGGCACATATTGCACTTTCTCAGCAGAAACTCTGTCACTTGTACATTGCTTCGGTTTAAACTACATAGGTCAAGTTAAGGGCAGCAAGAAGTGCTGGATTAGCATCTTCAGAGACCAAGGTCCTCTCCTCATCCACAGAACAAGATCTCCTCATTCAGATCAAGAGATGTCGATGAAAGCTTCATGCACAACACTTCTTCCTTGGAAAGGCAGTTTGATCTCCTCAGTGCTCACCTGTTCCTTGAGCCCTCATCCACGTATATGGCAAAACAAACTGACCAGTTGGCATGATGAGAAGGGGACTGACACTCTCAAAGTGCTTCTTTAAACACTGTCAAGATTTTTATGAGCTGCATATTTGCAGTAGTCCATGTACCTGTGAAATAACTGAATCACCATCTTCCATGTGTCAAAATGATGCCATTTCTGGGCTGTTCCATCTTCCTCCCACAGATCCGCCACGTTTGAGGTAGAATGCATGGCCTAAAAACCCAAATATGTGCTGCAGCTCAGACTGGCTCTTGGTGACTTCTAAAAATGTAACACAGTGAATGGCACTAGGAAACCCACACACTATCCCAAGGGATGCAGCTTGCACTCCAGGCTTTCAGCCTTCCAAACTGGATTACCTGAGTGAAGCTTTTCTCTATGACCTTAAGAACCAGTAGACTTATTTCTAACTGAAGGCTGAAAGCCTCAGATAATCAGATGACATGAGAACTGGGGCTTTGTGAGGAATGGAGAACATGGAACGATTTTGGGTTAAATCACAAAAGAACTGGATATTGTGCATACATCTTCTCCTGAATTTCCAGTTAATTCATCCTCTTGGGAGGATTCTCACTCAACTGAGCTCTCCTCTTGCAAAATTCCTTGGTATCCCGTTTTCCAGGCTGCCTGATATCTCTGCTCCTCCTCAACTGCTTTCCAGAAGGTCTTCCCACAGATCCGTGTCATTCCAGCACTGTGGCACTCCTCAGTGTCCCTTTGAGCAACCAGAAGATAGGCTACTTCTTTGCACAATCTGTTCAGGCTCTTCCTACCATGTCTTCAGCCACTCCCAGCGTCTCCTGTGCAGGGTGAGGGAGATGGACAGCAGAAGCAGTTGCAGGAATGCCTGGACAGAAGGTCAAAGCTCAGTTCCTTCTCTTAAATCCCCTGTGTTCACCCCTTAGCAAACAGAACTGTTCCAGAAATGAGATCCAGAAATTATTTCATTCCAGAAATGAAAGCTGCAGGAAAGGTTTCCCCT